GAAGTGAATTGGTGTCGTTTAATTTGATACGTCACTTAGATGCCCACTTAGCAATTGCATTGACTGCTGTCTGCACTCGTCGAGTAGGTACCGAAGTTGACTCTCCAGCTGCTAACAAATCTGTGTCATCCGCAAGTGTCGCTGTCATATAGCTTGAGTCAGAGGGAGGTCACTGGTAAAAAGAAAATAAAGCATTAGCCCCAACACGCTTCTCTGGGGAACACCCGCTTCTATCGGTTGCAAGTTGGAACAATAATCCGTGCAAAATTTCGTGCAGATATTGTCAAGTAAAGAAGTACATATAAGGACTTGATTTTAATTGATCACTTAGTTTAACAGCTATCGGCGGTACCAAGTAATGGACAGTTTCTGGAACAAAAAAAGAAAAAAAAAAAAAAAAAAAAAACCTATGCCACTTTGTTTACACTTTAAGGGCTTAAGATTAGTTAATCCAGCAACCTTTACTTACATTATATAGGGACAATGACCCTTTTTTTTACATTATGAGRTCAATGACCTTTCTGTTTACAATTTATGCGGTCGATGAGTCTTTAGTTTACATTTAACGAGGTCAATGACACTTTTGGTTATACTTATCCAAGTTCACAGCCTTTGTTTACATTTAGCCAAGTTCACAACTTTTGTTCACATAATGAGTCAATGACCCTTGGTTTACATTCTATAGCGTTAAAKCTACTTTTGTTTTACATTTTATACATTTACACATATTTTATGGCGTCAGTGACGTCTTTCTTAATTGTTCAGTTCGGACTACTATAGTATATTGTAGTAGAAAACTGACCGATCAAAAATAAGTTATGTAGAGAGCTTAAACATTTCCTACTGGGCCTTACAAACTTCGTGGCAAACTTAATATACCCTGTTTAACACAACAACGGCTTCGCACGTAATAGTTATCAGCTTTGAAGCAAATAAAGCTTCAAAATACACTAATAATATGTAATTGCAATAGTCCCATATATTTGCTTGTTTATAACATATTAAGTGCTTAGTGGTTGGCAGCTATAAATCATCGGCTTTATTTCCATTTGACGCTTGCTTGTTTACAGCTCTATTTGTATTCGGCACACTTGTGAGAAATATGCAGTGCAATAAATACTTGCTAGAGATAACAGCGCATGCTCTTGAAATGAATCGGCTTCCGTCAAAACATACGAGGGCTTATGTACCACCTACAAACCTCATTAACATGCCGTCACCTTCCTTCATCTACCGATCGCTTATCAACTGACTTGAAAAGCCCCAGTAGCTGACCAGCGAACAGATTTGTGTAGCTTGTTATCTCTAGATACTGCTACGCAATAAATTATGACAAAAGCGGTGCGCTATCAAGCGAGTCCGGTGTGGTAAAATAAGGCACACATAAAACGGGTGTTACATACATACATATAATATATAGGTATACACACATATATCTATGTTATGAAATATCTAATTAGACATATGAGAGATATTCCAGATTTTCACGTATTGTACACATGTATCATGCTTAAATTTGTACTACATATTTCTTGCTGTTGTTGTTAACTTAAATATTTTGTATTTATTGTTTTTTGTTGTAGTTTAATTACACCAAAAACACAAATTTCTCTCGCACTGCCTTGCCTCGTCACCGAACAGACGCAACTGAGTCAAATTGCTGACTGCCCATTATGTCAATGTATATGTATGTACATATAGTATACTAAGTGAGTACATAAATGTAGAATGTGAATTTATACATAGTAATATATGCACTGAGATATACATATGTATATATATACCTGTTCATAAACAGCGGTGATGAGAACTTGCGCTGATTTCAGCAAAACTGTCATACATACCCCATAGGAAATAGATAGTAATAAGGCGCACAYCTAGTGTGAAATCTATATCTATCTATCTAATGTAGTTGACTTATGGTCGGCCTACTGAGCGTACTATTCGTAACACCATCACCCATCGCGGGACCCAGCATTCATTATTGAAAGATATTCGACCGAATAGACCACGTCCAGCACGCAGTRAAGAAAATTTACCAGTCGTAACGSAGAGTGTACACGAMGACCGTGGAGAGTMTATTYAGCGSTTTTGCAAGAACTGAARCCGCTCGATCTTCCCAGGCGACAACGCTTCGATCTATGGGCTCTTGAAAAGTTCCAMGAAGATCCGACGTCCAAATTTTGTTGAGCAATGAGGTCTATTTCTGTCTCAATGGAATCAAAGACCAACGTGAAGATATTCTAGAGCTGCCATTTYCGCCAGAAGAAACAACGGTTTGGTGTGGTTAATGGACCAGTGGTCTCAGGTATTGAATACAGATAATACTAAAAGTTCGATGTACAAATTTCATTGTCTATATGACGTCCTCGTTCGCAAAGCGGGATGGCAAATGTAGTAAACTGCTAGTTATAAATGACTTACTGTACCATCAATCATCATTCGCATATTTTAATAAATTTTTGAAATAAAATCAGTTCTCTAATGTTTATACGAGTATTTATTGGTTGTAAGAGTATTTATTGGTTAACAGTTCTTTATGATCGTTTATAATTTGGATTCAACGTGTAGGGCCAACACACCATCCTCCTCGTTTTGACGAATTGAAACGTTGGCACGACCATCGGAACCCACCACAACCGATTTTCCTGTACATGTTGAACCCGACTTTTCGCCGGAGATGATGTCACAGTAGGTACCCGCCGGCAGACAGGTCTGCAGCGAGGTGTTTAAATCGTAATTATCATTGTTAAATGCTACGAAGCCCGTATTGCCACGACAGAAGGCGATCTGATTACTGCCATTGTCCCACCAGTTCTGTACATTAGTGCCGGATACGATGTTTCTGAAGCCAACCATGTTGTAAATTTGACGCCAACGATGTTCACATACCCAACCACCGCTACAGGAGTTATCAGCATTGAATATWGGACTGGCAATGTTGTTACCGTCGGTTGTTGGTGGACCTTGATCGGAGTCATCGAATGAAAATGAAGACATGATACGAGAAATACCAAATGGGTAAGCCAACATGAAGGCATTCGCCATTTTGTATTGTTTCGCATTTTTGTAGGTGAGAATATCACTGCCACCAGCGCCATGTCCACGTTGATTATCGTGGTTATCCACAAAAACMAAAGCACTAGTYGAGGGAAGGAAACCCCATCCAGTACCCCAATTGGTTAACCAACGAAGTTGGTCTCCACCTCTGAATACCCTGCCAATAGAGGCCGAATGACGGAATTCGGTGACCACACCCAAGTCAGTATATTCGTATTTGGAGATTGCTTCGCCACCCAAATCAATGACCTCTTGGAAAATAAATGGACGGGAACCACCAGCAAAACCGTGTTCGGTATTCAAGTTATTTAAACGATTGTAGATATTCTAAAATAGTTAAATTTTTGAAAATCTGTCAAATACATGGATTGAGTATAACATTTTGTAWTTACCTTTAAATCGGCTGGCCACATATGTTTGGCGGCATCAACTCGAAAACCAGCAACGCCCAAACTGATTAGTTTGTTGAGGAAGTCAAGAATGCGTTCTTGCACCCATGAGTTACTTTGATCCAGATCTTTCAAACCAACCAACTCACAGTTACGAACTTGATTAGCGTCATTGTAG